GAGACGTGCATACGATACTAGGCGGGCTCCTGCAGCGTACGACCTAAGCGGCACGAGGTCCTAAAGGCGAAGGCAGTCGAGGTAGGCGATTTGCTGTATGGCGCTTTCAACACAGAGAACGGCATGCCAGTCGACTTTATCGACTTGAAGGCGCGAAGAAGGGCGCCGGCTTGCAGGTTGAAATGCAGGTAGTCAGCGCAAGTCCTGGTACGATTACATTAGAGTTCAGCAGACTAAGTCAGATCACGGGAGATGACAAGTATTATGCCGCAGTATCACGTCTCATGGATGTGTTCCACGAAAACCAAAACGCAACCAAGCTACCTGGCATGTGGCCCATGTACGTTTCCATGCGCAATAAGGATGTTGTTTCGGGGTTCCAATTCACGATCGGAGGAAACGCAGATTCCCTTTATGAGTACCTACCCAAGGCGCATGCCTTGCTTGGGTCAGCGGACGACAGCTCGAGCAAGTACGAGGCCATGTCCCGGGCCTTCATGGATACAGCGATGAAGAACCTGTTCTTTGCACCTATGATACCAGGAAACGAAGACATATTGATCTCGGGAAACGTCGATGTACACGAAGACGGGCCTAGCCTTGACCCTGAAAGCGAGCACTTGTCATGCTTCATCGGCGGTCTTTTTGCTCTCGGTGGACGCCTGTTCAGTAACGATGAATATCTCACTACTGGAGCGAGGTTAGCCCGTGGGTGTGCTTATGATTACAAGGCCTTCCCATCAGGCATTATGCCAGAGAGGTACAACATGGTACTTTGCCCTGGCCCAGACCACCGCAAATCCTGTGTTTGGAGCGAGGAGCGGTATGCTGCTGAAGCAGCAAAACGGGCACAATACAAAGCCCACTTACCCAAAGGCTTCACCACTGCTAAAGATCCTCGGTACATCTTACGGCCCGAAGCAATAGAATCCGTCTTTATACTCTGGCGCATCACAGGCGACCCCGTCTGGCGTGAAACGGCATGGGAAATGTTTGATGCAGTTGCCAAAGCGACTGATACCGAATATGCGAATGCCGCCATCATGGACGTCACTGTCGTTGGATCGAAAAAGGAGGATTACATGGAGAGTTTTTGGATGGCGGAGACATTGAAGTATTTCTATCTATGCTTTGCAGATACAGGGTTGATTAGCTTGGATGACTTTGTCTTAAATACAGAGGCGCATCCTTTCCGACTTTCCAAGAGATGAGCTAAGCGATGCTTTTAGAATACAACTCTATATGAAACACATTAGAATCCGCCAACCGCCGTGTCTGCAAAGCTGCACCTGTTCTTTGAACCACACAACACCTCCATGTTCTCGACGCCTGTACGCATAACTCCACCGCCCCACAATTCCCGGCAGCTCGACCATGTGGCGCCGCGAGGCTAATTGGCGTACCTGGTCATGTTTCTAAAACAAGCCCACGCCGATTTAGCGCACTCGCGCCCCCCTTGATCATCCTTCTTCAAGCAACCAGGCCAAACCTCTTTCTTTTCCTCCACTTCCGCGACTCTACGTCACAGTCATTCTTTCTCTCATTAACTCACACTCGTTCTTTGTAATTGGTATTGTCACTCTTTGACACATATATCGGCCTTTTTGACGCTTACCGCGAATCCGTACTGGAATTGATAATCATCCATCCCCACCATCGTACACCTATCAGCATTACCATAATCCAAGATGCGCTTCTCTGCCGTTGCAGCTGCCCTAGCGGCCACGCCTGCCGTTGTGTCCGCAGCAAGGGGTACCATGGGCTTTGCTCTTGGAACGAAGATGGGCAACGGAGCTTGCAAGACACAACAGGACTACATGGATGACTTCCAGGCCATCAAGGCATCCTCTGGCTCTACACTCGTCCGTGGCTACGCAGCCTCCGACTGCGGCATGGCCAGCCTTATCCTCCCAGCAGCCAAGCAGAGCGGCTTCAAGGTCGTCCTCGGTATCTGGTATGCTTCTTCCTCCCCTGTGCCGCCACCACCCCATGGGCTTGGCATGCTAACAAGATCCCTCTCCCAGGCCCGATGTCGAAGACTCATTCAACAAGGACCTCAAGGCCATCAAGGACGTTGCCGACCAATATGCCGACACCATCTACGCCGTTACCGTCGGTTCCGAAACTCTGTACCGCGGCAACTTCACTGGCCCCGAGCTCGCCAACAAGATTAAGACTGTCAAGTCTACGCTTGGTAACAACATCAAGTGTGGCACTGCAGACTCGTGGAACAAGTTCAAGGATGGAACAGGTGATGCCGTCATTGCTGTTGCAGACATCATCATGGTCAACGCTTTTGCCTTTTGGCAGGGTGCTGCTGCTGGTTCCGATGGTATGTTTCAATCATGACTATCGGATGCGTATAGACAGTAGTACTAACTTTTGTTTTCAGCTACCAAGGTTTACCTTGACGACATGTACCAGGCCATTACCCACATTGAGAAGGTTGCTGGTGGAGCTGGCAAGGGCCCTGAAGTTTGGTATGTCCCCTTGTCCTCATTCACTTCATGCACATTCTAATCTTTCTCCTCAGGAACGGCGAGACCGGTTGGCCCACCGCTGTAGGCACCGACTATGAGGCTGCTCAAGGTGGTCTCGACAACGCAAAGAACTTCTACCAGCATGGCTTCTGCTCCCTGCTCGATTACGGCTTCAACGGCTTCTACTTTGAGGCTTTCGATGAGCCATGGAAGCCTGCTTCCATCGGTGACAACGGAAAGGCTGCTGATGAGACTGCTTGGGGTGCTATGACCGCTGACCGTAAGGCCAAGTTCTCGCTCAAGTGCTAAAATGGGGCTTTCTTTGCATGTATGGGTCTACTGAGAAGGATAAAAAGGTGTATGGGTCTATAGATCATTGTGGGAATAGAGCGGTTGTATATCGGACAACATTGCATATGGGTACCGGGCCTTGGATGTATCGCTTTGTCTCTATGCAAAAGTAACAGTATGTGTTACACACTCGGTTGAGGGTTACGTTTATAGTCTGCTCAACTTATAGTGACTGCCTAAAATTGCAACAAAAGTGCATGTGCAATAAATACGTTCAATCAGTGTAAAGTCATAGCGTTGTCTATTTGTCTTGCTTACATCACCATTCAACGCAAACTCACACAGCAACCCTCTCATACACTGGTGCTTCAATCTCCCTCATAGGCGTTGACGGCGCGGTACTAGGTGCCGAACCAGCAGAAAACAAACTAGAGCCCCCCGAAGCCAGCTGTGATAAGGAATTCGCACTTGAAGATGACCGTGACAATGCACATATCTGTTCGTAATCTGGCGCAAATTCCCGGGACGGCTCTCGTGGCGTGTACTGCGGTAGAGACTCCACGTCCTCTCTATCCAGTGGCAGTGGCGGCAGTAGATCGCTTGACAAGCGGGGTAGGATCTCCAGTGGTATACTTGAATGAATAGTAAAGTTCTGATCGTTGTATTTGATACCGATTGCGACGCCCAGTTCATAGCGCCTGGTAACGGTGTACGTCTTGAACGTAGGCACACACTCCATGTTGTCAATGAGGCGGAAATCCGATGTCAGTGTCGTTTTACGGTTGAAAGGGATCGCTTTTTTCATGTCTTTTCGCGATATACAAGTAACGTGCTTGGAAACGATGTCTTGGGGGTCCGATAAGTTGCTGCCGCACCTGGTGGTCGAGTATGTTGAAATAGTTACTGTCAAGGAGTCGATTGTACATTGCCGTTCCGCATGGTTGGCAGGATCGCGTGCGTTGAGTAGACTGAGTGATAACGGTATGTGCTGTCCCGGTGCGACTTGTTGTGGGTGAAACAAAGTTGGCGTGATGCGAGGAGTCGAGTTCATGGAAACACCCGACAGTACCTTTTTGACCCGGGACTTTTCTTTTTCTCGTATCGGCTTCCACGCTTGTCCATAGAGCACAGAGGCCGTGACTTTGGCCTGCTGTTGTAGTTCCGTTGGTGGGATCGGTAGGTGTCGCAACATCTGTTTACATCTTCTAACTTCCCTGGACGCACTGAGAACGAGCTTCGCTTGGACAAAGTATGATATCTGAGCCGTACCACCTGGAAAGCTCGTCTTTAATTGGAAACTCGGTGGTAGTGGATGTGGCTCCTTCAGATAGTTGCTACCATGGCCTGTCCCTTTGTATCGTGGTTCAGTGTTTTTGGGAAACACAAATCCAAAGGTCCATGAGTACTTCTTAGGTTTCAGAGCACAGCATTTAACCAGATCCTTTTCGTGTCTGAAGAGTCGTATCTTTTCTTCGTACTCGCGCCTCGGTGACGCAGATCCGATGTGGCCATTGGCATGCAAAGGCCTGGATGTCCTTGTCATGCAACTACCCGCAAAGACCACTTTGAGTGACTCAATGTCTTCTTGCTTTTCCAGTATCAATGTGATTCTTCCAGTAACCTGATCCCCTCTCTTGTACACCTTGTTGCTATCACCATCCACGATAACCCTCAATGCTGGTGCAGTCATTTTGAACGTAATTTGAGAGATCCCACTAAAGATTCAGGACCTGGCAAGGTTTAAGAGTAAACGGTAGAAATGTGATGGCTCACAAAGTGCCAGGCACACAGTTATCTGTGTAGTACGGGCTAGGATAAGGTTTGCCGGGGTGGGAGGTATGCCAAGCAATGTTGGATTTGCTAGGCATGCTATCGAGGTAGTCTTAACGGAAGGTGGAGGATGTATCCGTCTGGATCTGGAGGCTGACTACAGATAAAGACTCTTGGACTATATGTCGCATCCCTTTAGACTTGCGCCCACTTTGTTGTGTCGGCCACCATTCGGTCGCCAAGGATACACCAAGGAGCACTGGAATAAAAGGCATGATGTCCACGCATGCAGTACTTGATCTATGCAGTCATCTAGAAGAGAAAGGATGTTCGTGGTAGCGATAATGACGGATCATGACACTTGTTTCACCGGACCCCTAACTGTAATGACCATGCACAAAATTTCGGGCGGTGCGTTGCACAGGCTGAGAACCTCAGCTGTGTCAAGAATTTCTTCAACTCTTTTCCGACTGCTGACAGCTGCTTGCAAGTAGCCAAGAAGGCGCGGAGCCCTTGGCTAGTAGTCTGGACTCAGCCACGTTGTTACCCAGGATCTTCCCGCTAACCACTGTTGTCGAGCCGCTGACATGGAGTTCAGCCCACATTCGTTCCACAGTTCTGGAACCGGGGATGAAGGAATGAACAGTACTTGCTGCACCACCGCATAAGGAGATGTAATGCGTCGAAGAATTAGAATCGACGCTGAGGAATGACTGTGGTTTACCCTAGGCCACACTCGGCCAACGACATCGCCCCGGCGTCAGCTCGGGTCAAATGACATGCGCCCAGAAGGCTCTTGGCTCATGTTCCAAGGCTTTGAATGCGGTCCGCTTCGCCAAAACTGCAGAGAAAGAGGGGAGAGCAGGGCTGGTTCTGTCACTCTCAGCGGCTGGTTTGTCCGCTCTGCCTATTCGCGGTCTGTTCTAGTCGCGGATGCAGTCATGGATGTAGCTGACGGCCATCGGAGTTGAAGTTTCAAAGGCCCCAGGATGCAATGGTGTGGAAGAAGAACGGTATGTCGTTCTAGCTCAGTGAGAGGGTTCAGTGTTGTGGCACGTGGGTATCGATAAGGCGTAAGGTAGGAACAGACGATCCCGCACGCATCCCAGGTACGAATTAGGCTGCTCAACTAAACAATTGCCTTTACGATCTGGAAGCCATTGCTTGTCATCTGCAGCTTCATTCTGACCATACAGGGTCAATCTACTTTGTCAATTGACCAGCCTTTGTGATGGAACTTATTGTGCAAGGGCGTTTCTAAATTTCGTCATTCGATTGCTACTACTATATGGAATGATATCTCTAGTGATAGCAGATACATGAGCGTCGAAATACGCCCCCTGAATTGAAGCGTCGAAATCTATGGCCGGGTACATCCCGTGCTATCGCTAAGATTGGGGTGAAAATTAGCAAACCATTTAATACACTCAAGCATGACCATGGTATGATAGTAGTAGAGCCAATATAGCAAGTTAAACATGATGCAATCCTGATATGCATTGCAATTTTGGTGATGTAGGCGAACTAGTTACTCCCCCAACCGCGATCAGGAAAGCGCGCCCAGACGCCAAAACGCGTGCTCACGCGTCAGGGTCCCGCTAAAACTATCTACATATCGCAGTGCACCACAACCACAGCCGCATCTAACCTTGGTGTGTTCCAGCCGGTCATCGTGTTACCCACCAATAGTTATAAAGCTCCTCGTTATTCCCGTATTACAACAGCACCACGCACAATGCCGCCTAGGAAGAGCAATGTATCGGCCGTGTCGAATGAAGAGAGCCCAGCAGCACCCAGATCAGCGCCTCGCGATGAAAGCTTAGGTGTTGAGGTATTGCGCATAGCATAGCCAACTAATTCAACGAGGCTGACGAGTCTAGGACCTTAACCTCCCAAAGTCGATAGTACAGCGACTGGCCAAAGGTGTACTGCCGCCAAATACTCAAATCCAGAAAGATGCGCTTCTTGCTATGAGCAAGAGCGCAACTGTATTCGTCAACTATGTTACATCATGGTAGGTTTTCATTCCCTGCCGCACATAGATTGATATGCGCTGCTCCCGTACAACCGTCAACGTGGTACTGACAGTATACTGTAGCGCGGCCGAAAAAGCCATTGCCAGCGGCAAGAAGACAGTCATGCCAAAAGACGTGTTTGAAGCCATGGCCGAGCTCGAATTCGCTTTCATGCTCCCCCGCCTCGAAGCCGAAGTCACAAAGTTCACGTCGATACAAGCCGATAAGCGGAACACATACAGGAAAAAGGTGCGCGAGGAGAAGAAGGGTACCAGTGGCACCACAGGGGCTGCTTTTTCGACTCCCATGAAATCAGCGGGGAATGGAGATGTAGTTATGGAGGGCACGGATGATGGTGGGGAAAGGGCGACAAAGAGGATGCGAAGAGAAAGTGGAGAAGGGGGAGAAGGAGACGTCACTGAGGAGGAGGGAGACGAGACGGTGGATGTGGAAGACGAGGAAGTTGAGGACGATGAGATCGAGGAGGAGGTCGAGGAGGAGCGACTGATGGAGGATCCACTGGAGGAAAAAGAGGACAAGGAGGACGAAGACGAAGACGGCAACGACAGCGATTGAAGCGGCAGAGAAGACATTACTAATGTGCATGAGAAGGCGTTCAGGACACGGAGGGCTTGCTGCAATACTGCATTACTGCTATGCATGAGAGTTTGGTAGTGAGATTTATTGAACCTGTGTTCTAGCCATGTATGCTATACTAGAGCTGTCTGACTGTAATCTTCAATCTCAACGCAAGAAGGTCACAACCTGTGTGGCTCATAGCCCTAATGGTACTGGCCGTTGAGGCGGTGCATCTCCCATCAAATATATGTCGTAGCGCAAGTATCCTCGTGTCATATTCATTCATGCCATCGTGGTACTCGATACCTCTATTCCGGCCCCTTCAGAAGGGTACGGGTGTCCTTGTTCAGCGCTTCATCTTGGCAGCCACGGTCGCATCCATCGGGTCGCCATATCGCACTGCCCATTGTTAGCAAACCAGTAAGCGTGAATGAGCACACAGCGCACGCTTGATCATCTGGCTCTTGTCAACAATGCTGTCCAGTGCCCTCGCCTCTTCCTCGCGCGCCCTCGTGTTCTTCCACGCGAAGCCCGGCTGGTCCTCCTGTATGCTCCACTGATAGCCCGTCTCAGCATCGTGGTGCGAGCCAACCGCAGCCGGATTGCCTGGGCCTGAAGACGTCATACTGGGCGGCAATGGGCGTTTTCCGTTTGAATTGACCCCGAGCGTCTCGCGCGTCTGGGTTTGTGAATTGGGGGGTGAGAGTTCGCTGTCACCCGTCAGGCCAATGACGGGGTTGTGTGGTGTTGCAGGGTTGTTTGGCAACGCCTCATCTGGGAACATTTCATCGTCGGAGCCGTTGCGGGGGGACGAGTGCATTGTGGAATCTCCCTCGTTGTCTGACGGTGGCGTTAGCTCGCAACGGTGGCGTTTGGAGGCCATGGTGCATGGGTTGGGATGGCTAGAGAGTACACACCAGACATTTTGGAGCTTCTAGGAGAGCCTACTGTGTTGATCAAGCCAACGAGTGCGTTTGCGCCGACAACAAGCTGAGGCAGTAGTGAAAGTCATAGCGCCAAAGCTGGCGACATGGAGCAAATCGCCCGGGCGGAGACGGCTAGTTCCCGCTGCAGGGGTCCGGGGGTAGGGAACGTCGAAATATTGGCCGCCGACATCATAACCCAGAACCTCACCCTTGGTCCTGACTGCTCTTTGACACGACTTTTACTTTTTGGATAAAACATATCCCCTGTCTCCTCCACTTCACACCAGATAGACGCCTCGACAGACGAAATGGCACCAAAGAACACTCTCGCAGATGCTTGGGACGATGATTGGGAATCTCTCGCCGATGTACACGTGCCCTCCGCTCTTCCATTGCACTCGCTCACAGCCTGTAGAAAGAAGACGAGAAGCCGGCAGAGGACCAGCCAAAGCCAAAGCTCACAAAAGCCCAACTCAAAGCACAGCATGCCGAACTCAACAAGCAACTCTGGCAGGCGGCGTACGTTTCACGTGCAAGACACCGTCGCAAACACAAAAGCTAACGACTGCCTGGAACAGCGAGAACCCCGAGCCTCAGTGGTATCCCCAAGTACGCCCCGCCCCGGTAGCAGCTACCTTCAAGCCCAAAGTCACCATGTTGGCGCGTAAGCCCACCCCACAAGTCCTCTCCCGCAATATGGCGGGCATGAACCTTGAAGACGACGACAGCGAAGAAGAGCGCAGGAAGAAAGCTGCGGCCGATTTCGAGGAGCGCAAAGCACGCGCGCAGAAGGAGCGAGCAGAGAAGGAGCGCAAGTATGCCGAAGCACGAGAACGTATTTTTGGCTCACCAGCCGCTTCCGCTGCAGAAGATTCGCGCAGCAACTCTCCAAACAAACCCACCAGAGGAAAAGGACGGGGGCGCGGTGGAAGAGATAGCCAGCCTAGATCGAGCAATGAGCAGTCACCGGCACGAACAGCAGTTCCTGCACGCCAACTATTCGACCCCACCTACACCCCAAAACCTGGCTCCGTCTACATCCACAAGAAAGAATCCAGCAACAGTCGCCCGTCTACACCGAGTACACAGGAAAAACCTGTGCGACAGCCACAAGGACCTGCTCGCGGTGGCGCACGCGGCTTCGCTTCTAGAGGGGGTTACGGTGTCCAAGCAGGTCCGTCGACATGAGCAGAAAGCATCCCAGCCAGGAGAGCGCAGTGTCCCCCCAGATCAATCGGCCCCATCCTTAAACATGTGTCAATACAACGCCATAATGCTGCAGCAGCAACAACATGAGTCGTACAGATACTCTAGTTATCGGGCTTTGAGACCACTTCTGAACAACAAGCGCATTTTTCGACCCCGGCGGCAGCGTACTATCACTTCAAATATACTAAACCTCAAACTCAGACGAGTAGTAACGATACCGCTGGTTGGGGCAATCGGCCATGCAATACCAGCATTTGCACAGGATTGCAAATTACAGAATCGTGTTTGTACAACCACAACACTTCGGGTCTACTGAAACACCACGTTACGAGTGGATGAATGGATTCCGCCACCATAGTAGATTCCTTCATCTGGTTGCACGCTGCCCCTATGTTGGTGTTCACTGGACGAATGAAATCCATCACAGATGTATTATTGGTCGATCAGGTGGTGGAGGTTACCGATTCGATCATTCAACGCACTGTGGCCGATATTTACGACTTCTTCATGCCATAGAATTCTCATGTCTCATAATACGAAACTCTTCGAGACAAAGCTAGTCTTGCCGTCCCGTCAAGTGGGTCCCAGGATAAAGGTTCTCACAGGACGCAAAGACAGCACTGTGGCAGAAGACACTTTCCCCGTGACAATGATGCCGGTATCGAGCATGTGGAAGGCGCAAGGACACAAAGATACGAAGATATGAAGGGAGTGGAAGCCGATGGTGCATGGGAGAGGGTATTTTCTCGGTACTCTTGGAGCAACAATACATGTTGATTGGCAGGCTGAGAGGGCGGCGGCGGTTTTTGCTATGAGCGCTGGGAGATCGAGTTATTTTTTCTTTGCGCTACTTATGTCCGTAGTTAAGCATACCAAGTTTGAGCAGTGGATACAACCGTACCGCATTACTGCATAGTCCTTCTCATAGTTGCTGCTTAACTTTGTGTTATGGCGGGCCAGTGCGTAGCTATCAGGCTCTCTTGTTCACAGAAACACGGCATAAGTGTCGCTTAAGTTTGCTAGAGTAAATACTATAGAGTAGCTTCGGATGTGGGTTTGCCGTTCTACGACTGTTGGCACGAGAGTAGTATGCCCTCGTATTGTGAATATCATATGTTGGCGCAGTTGGTCAATAGAGCAATGTTCAGGAACTTGAATAGCACATGTCATGAGCGAGTGAAGGGATTGTTATGATGAGTGATCGCTAGAATGTATACATGACAAGAGTCGTTTACCCACAAGTATTCCTGGAGCAAGTAGAGCACAGGATTTCAGGGATATTCCTGATTCACATCCAACTTGTGTGCGATCAAACTTTTTTCCTGCATCAACTAGTCCACATGGCCTCTATAATCACTGATGCATGAGTCCACCATCCAAGCACACCGAGCATGTGACTATAAAAAAATGAAGCGCCCTTCACAGGAGTAAAGTGAAGCGTTCATTCATAGCACAAATATATCCGATGAGGGTGGAATACGGTATTTTCACCAAGACGCTACTTACTATATCTACCTACTACCCCACTCACCGTCTCCCCTCGTGCAGACGCAACTAGTCCAGCCCATGATTCATGGACACCATTGCTTCATTATTTACTACGCGCCTGTCACTTAATACGCCGTTACAAGGACCCAGTAACCCCGAAGGGGATGTGGAGGTGTGCGTGTGTGGGACCGAATAAGTCCTTGCATGACGCGCTCTTTCTTTGCTCTTGCTGACGGTTATACGACCCCACTGGTTTCAGTAATCAGTAAGCGTGTGCTGTCCTTCACGTCATCGGGCCGTCGAAAAAGAGTCTTATCGCGCGCGTGTGTGGGTGGAGGGGTGAAAGCGGAATCAAGCTATAGCAATAAATTATGAGGGGGGGAGTGTGTCTTGAGCCAGGATTTATACGCGTCGAAGAAAACGACAGTGAGCAATAGGAAATGCAACTTGGACAGACAATCCCTACTGAACTACATGTAGCAAGGATGAAGAAAAACCAAAGTGGGTATATACGTTGAATAGCTCCGAGCATATTGAACCAAATTTTGTGAAGCGTCTGCATCGAGTGCGACTCTGGTATTTCAGTGTCCAAGCTTGTCTTGAGGCCTCGACCTGGCGGATCCCCACCTTGAAGCATGCACAGCGCAGCACATCACACGATATCGCGACCTTACCTTGTACGGTCTCGATATCCCACAGAATCCTGTTAGTCGGATTGCGGTCGTGTTGACAAGAATAGTCCCGAAGATATTGTCGTCTTACCGAGCATCCGAGACGCCCCGTCCCGCAGTTGTTCAAGGTGGCAAAACTAGATATGGTGCCACTGCCACGTCTTCTTTTTCACATGCGTATTTAATGTCTGCCTAATATGTTATGCCTTCCAGCTATGCTTGTACTCATATCCTGTGTCTGACTGGTCATTGCCATCTTGTCGTTGAAACAAACTCTAGGCAGCCAGTTTGCAGCTGAAGCACTGTCCTTCTCTTTTACCGCCCAGTTGCCAGAAAAGGAAAGAAGACCGTTTATACGCGTCCTCTATGCGGATCATACAGAGTGGCGCATACATGATTCCGGTTGTTGATTGGCAAGCTAGATGAAAGTCCAAAGCCATGGCAATCATTTACCTTGGTTGGGCAAAAGCAAGAATCTGTACCTAAACCAAACCTACCGTCTACCGGCAGCGAACAAAAGGCAAAGAAACAGAGACCTCACCACCAGCGTGAAATAAACAAGTTCTCAACGCGCCCATCGTAGCTCGTAGGGCGTTGCCTCAACGACAGCAAGTAGTCAATGGGCAAAGTCGGATTGGGGCTGTCATGTCGCGGAGCCTCAAGCGCCACGCATGCTTGAACCTTGCTCGAGAGGAACTCGAAAGCAATATGGCGGTGGACACAAGCTATGACGCAAGTAGAGAGCCCATCGCTCTTGTCAATGCGTGGTTTCGCCGGGAGATGCCTGGTTACCATGTGGCTCGCTAAGGTCACAAGCCTATCCCTATGGCATGACTCACCGCCGCAATAGTGTTTTTTTTGTTGGCCCGGCGGCTATCCGTGTACAGTACGAGCAGCCCCCCCGCGATGGGCATGTTTTGGCGAATACTAGAAGCTGTTGAAGAAGAGAGCAGCTGAGATGGTCTCGTGATTCAGCCGCTCGACGGTCTAAAGGCTACCTTTCAAGCGGCGGCACACACTAGTCGTTTCAATCCGGCACTCAAATGTTTGGCAGTGACTATATAGCGGTCAAATCGGAGGGCAGTAAAGCCGCCGCGGCGCTGACGAGGCCGATCGATGGCGACGAAAGTACAAACGAAGCGGAGCCGAGACGATAGTGAGGTTTGCCATCGGGCGTAAGCCCAATCGTGGACAGTGGGGAACCCCCCCATTTTTCGGGGGGGAAATTTTTGCCGTTTTTTTTCAAAAATTTTCCCTACCTCCCGGGGGGGGGGGGGGGGGGGGGGGGGGGCGGAGCTTCGCCACAGGGGAAGCCGTGTATGTTTCGCTCGTTGCATCATCCCTGGGATGAAAATCATATTATGTGACTCGGAGCGTCCACGCCAAGTGTATGCACCGCCACAGGCGCGGAACTCGCACGCAATTCCTGTGTATTCGCACCGGAATACAAGAGCGTTTCGTTGGGCCGAATATATTATTTCGGAGTTCAATATGCAGCTAGATCGCGAGCAATCGAGGACTCCTGTCCTCAGCCTGCAATGTCGCACAGGCTAGGGT